ACCTGCATAGTGCAGCGGTGCATCTTTATCCAGGGCGAACAGAGGTGGGTTGAGGAGGACAGTGTTGTCGTTTTCCATGACGATCCCTTGGTACTCCGTTTCGATCCATGGCTTGTGTTTATTGGCTGAGAAAGAACAATCACAAAAGCAAGGGACAGGCGTGAGAGCCACAGGAACAAGCTGTGATTCGGAACAAACAGCTTTTTTTTTTTTTTGACAAGACTATTTATAACACGGCGTTATGAAGGTGAGTGAGCAGAGGTTCAAAGACGAACACAAGCAGTCCAAGCCAAAGGAATTTGCAACAAATAAAAAAAGTTGTGCTAAAATACGTTAGTGGCAGATGGTGCAGTGGTTCAACCAGCTGTACATATGCATACCACTTGCACATTAAGTTACAAACATACCCATATGGGGATCGACTGAAACTGTGTGATGGTCACACAACACAACACACACACAGACAGCACACCACGCCTCGCTGCTTTGCAGAGTAATTAGGTGTAGAGATGTTTGGCCTGATCGCACAACGTGAGGTATATTGCGCCTATCACTTAAAAACAGACAGATAGCTTCTCTTAGAATGCTTGGAGAAAGACGGAACCATGCAAACCTACATTAAACACCCTGAAAATTAGAAATCTTCAACAATAAAGCTGGCCAACTGGCCAGGGGTCGTTCTGGTTTGTGCTGCATTGCCACAATAATTTTTACATTCATTAGCTTGTACATTCCATTTTTATGCCTTGCAACTTAAACATTGGTTTGCTGTGATGTGTTTTCGCATTGTTGCTACAAATTTTGTTGATTTGTCACTGAGATCACGTTATCTAGCTGGCTAACTTATGCCTGTTTTTTAGCTTTTAGCCTGATTTTGCCACAATTTGCTTGACGTAGGGTGTCGTGGGGATTCGTAAACGACAATGGACGTCGGGATGCAAGATTCCATCGTTTCAGCTCGTGTAGTGTGTCATAGTGGATGACAACCGATTCCGTGTCTGCGATGCTTCACAACATCACGACAGAAAGACTAGCATGTTAAATTTTTTTCCCGTTGTCCACGACGAGTTCTGTCACATTGGTGATGTTGACCAATAGCAGCACAGAAGCTTTTTCATACACAGGTTTCAAACATGGCAAAACGAAAGAGAGATGATGGTGCTGCTAGGTGGAATTATGAGATGGAGGAAAGGTTCGTGGAGCTGTGGCAGCAGTACTCCTGCCTGTATGATGTGTCATCGAGGGACTACCACGACAGAACAAAGAAAGAAAAATGCTGGTGAACTATAGCGGAAGCGTTTCAGCAATGTTTGCACTCTTGTTTTCAGAAGTCAGTCGCTAGTTCCGCCTTCTCGATGACATCACGTCGGGAAGCAACGTGTAGTCTGACATGTTTCTTGTCCACGCCACGACAAGATTTTAGGAGTCAAAATCGTGTAATCTGACAATGACTATCGTGACCGACAAAAATATTGTGTAGTCTGAACCCGGCATTACAGGAGGCTTTGTCAAATTCGTGAAAAATTACTGATAGTCTTAAAAACATAAGTATGTTGGAAACTGCAAACCAATCTTACTGTGATTTGTATGCCATTGTTTTGCTCACTAAGTTACATTAAAACTGTTTAATTTCAAGAACATTTTCCATTTTTTGTAATATATACTGTTCAAATGTTTGGGGTCAGTAAAATAAAAAAAAACAACTAATTAAGACGTATTCAGCACAGACACATTAAGCTGATTCAAAGTGAAAGTAAAGACGTTTACATTAAAAAAAACGATTTTATTTTTTATAAATTCTACTGTTTTAAACTTTATATTGAGTAACATCAAATTTAATTTAAATAAAAAAATATTTTTCGACAACAAAATTAAGCTTGTAATGATTTCTGAAGGAATATGTTACACTGAAGACTACAGTTTGCCATCACAGGAATAAATGACATTTTAAAATGCTTACTGTTTTTACTGTATATTTGGAAAAAATGCAGCTTTGGTGAGCATAACAGACTTCTTTCATAAACATTCAAAAAATCTTTCTGACCCCATACATTTGAATATTGTGTATTTATATATTAAATATCAGTATGAATGTAAAAAACATCAATTTATTTAAACAACTTATATGAAAAATGTATAAATATTTCTAGCAAAATACATATAGCTAACAAATAACAATCAATCCTTCTTTTGCCCTGGTGCCAGTTAAAACGTTGGCAAGGTGCGTAAAAATCATAACTTCTAATCCTTATTACTGAGCCGTTTCATAAAAAGATTTAAACCTCTTGTCATATGATAGCCTACTATACTACTAGACAGTGTGCTGACCACGAACTAAAATGCACCAATCTTTTTCATGTGTGGCTACATGCCGTCCACCTCGCTCTCATATTTCAAGTCAATCTGTCTTTTTTTGCCATTTATCCACCTATCCCTCTCTCTCCCTCCCACCCACCCACTCACGCCCGCGTTCCTCCCTCTCATCCCTCACTCAGCCATATAACATTAATCTGAGCATCAGAGCACTGGATTACTCCTCGGATTACGGACCAAGCGACTACGCTGTGCATCTCACTCCATTTATCACACGTGCCACTTTTCCACACTGACCGGAGCATTTTGAACGACTCCGTCAACAGCTGTGACAGAGGATAGATAGAAAGATCAACGCATGTCTGTGATCCCACAGAGAAAAGTTAGCCTTAAATTCAGAAATATAGCATCTCCGGTTTCCCACGTGTGTAAAAATAGCAGAGACGAGAATAGATAAGCTTTCACCCTTTTTCTTCAAGGACAAGAGTCGACCTCTCACTCCCCCTCTCTTTTTCACAGAGATCCTACAGTATATATAATATATATCAGCATCCTTTCTGCCATTCTCCAAATTTTGCTGTCCCACCATCATCTATTCGCTCTCTTGTCATTCCATCACTTTCTTCATCATGTTGTCTCTTCCCATGCCACCTTGAGATGCGGCCTACCTTTTGTGATCTCTACTAAATCTACTGTTGTCATTCATAAAGGAGGAATACATTTATTAACTGACACGATTTCATACTCAACATCCGTAACATACAGCAAAACGGATTGAGTTTCTGGTTTAAATGAAATGTATGTGCATGCCAGAACTGCGAACAGATATGTTAATACACTCATTCGCACTTAATCATCGACACAATGCTCAGTATCAACATTCAGAAGGATGGAGGAGACTGACCTTTGTTGCCATGGGCAACCGAAGTCAAGCAAAAGAGGAGAAAGGAGAGAAAACTCATTCTGGCCATCTGAGGGAGGAAGGAGGGGAAGGACAGAGGGAAATAACATGCATTAACCTGCTATGAAGCAGTTTAAGATAGAGGACAGAGGAGAAACAGAAAAGCGCAAGACAGAGACAGAGAGACAGACATATTTCCTTGCCTGCATTTCCTTAAACGTAAACATTAAGACATTAAATACTCCGCTCTAGGTAAATGTGAATATGATATGCAATACCCTTGACATCATTTTCGTAGCCTAGTATGGCCGAGGAGGTCTGGCTCCCATCTGAGATACAGTATGTCGACTATTATATAGCCTGCTGTATTTACTAGTGACAATCAATGCTCAATAAAACCTTGGTATTAAGCGAATTGAGTGCGCGTGAAATTGAGAAGTGTGCGCATCCTCGCTCACACGCGCATGCAGGTGTATCCTCGCGAATGTAGCACATCCCTGCAGGAGGCAGGTTTGTTAACAGAATATCAAATGTGTTTCATCAAGACGCTTGTCCTCGAATAACATCTGATCTGAAAAGATTGATATAGGCTATGTCATTTACTTACATTAGTATTTGTATAAATATAAAGCTTAATATCTTCCAACTTGGATGACGGACAGATATGTGATATAACCTACTGGTGTTTACAACGCGATATTAAAACGACCGGTGTTATAGCTCACTCAAACATCTCACACATATATGCGACAAACACGAATCGATTTTTAAGCCTGTAAATTAATTCAAGCGACCCAAAATTCGCCATATCGTGTAATTTTTCAAAGCAGAGAGCAGTTTAGATGATATAGCACCTGTGTCACGCGCAAGAATTGAATTATAAATATAATTTTGGGATCAAATGTACGTTACCGTGAGGTGTGAGATGGTACCCCGCTCAGTCTCCTCTAAGCATCCGTCACACACTCACACACCTATGACAGCCTGATGCCCGCCGACACACCGAACGCAACGGCTGGGACCTCCGGTGCCTCCCGAAACGACTCGAACTGCGGAAAGGAGCCAAACTGGAATTTGAAGATTAGATACGAAGAAACCAATGCCCCCGTTTTCGGTGGATGCCGTGAGAAAAAAGAGACGGTGTGATATCTCCTCCCTCTCGCAGTTTCTTAACCCGCCCACACTGCGTCTCTCTCGCTCTCAGGACTCACCCCCGGTGAAACGCGAATTTACTAATCCTACTGCGACTAGGGTTTGCTTATTAATATTCATTAGGCAACCCTCCGCCATTGGAAAGTAACGACGCAGCTCATTAATATTCATTACCCAGGCAGCGTTCATTGGAGAACAATAGCGTAATTACATAACGAATAGATATTATGCAACAACCAAATCGTCGCTATAGGTAGCCACCAAGCGAGATTAACAATCTACTTAATATTAAGGAGCTAAGCATTGTTTGTAGTAGGAAACATATTTGTTCCTCCCGTTTAGCGGTCTCGAAGTCAGCGAGATGGCTGGCTGTGTGATACATCTGGACTTGGAGGGAAGCGTCTGGAGACTGATGTGTACTACTGCTCACCGTCAAACCACACATCTACTTCCCACTTCGAGTTTGTAATGAATGTCATTCGTGAATGCGCTTGAACTCCTCACTCTCACAAGCTGTGCCTCAGCTCTAGGGCCCAGACTGCAAGATGACGTCATATCGGCTCCCACAGCACAGATCTAAAACCCTGACACCACAAATCACAAACACCAGAACACACTCGAGCAGACTCTGTTCAAATCCAGCATTTTTAATGAGTATTACAAAAAGACGGGTTTGTTTAAAAGTAGTTGTTTGTTTTCTCTCTCTCTCTCTCCCTCTCGTGTACATTTGGTAGCAGTAAGGCAGTAGTTGTTTCCCAAAAACAAAAAATTTTTACATCCATAAAATTTGCAACCACATGTATAAATATTATAAAACAACTTTGATGCTACAGTGAGAGAGGCAGTGAATCCGGGTGCAGGTTGTAGCCCTCACTGAAGAGTCTGTATGTGTATTTGTATCAAGGATCTTCAATGTCATGTCATACAAAACTGATACAAAGGCAAATATGCATAGGAATTATTGAGAGCAGCTCCTGATGTGCGATGAGAAATACACACCCACACTTTTTAAGGATTTAACACAGCAGTTTTTAATAGTGCCATTGGTGTGCACAATTTACTAAAATGCTTGTTATAATTTAAATACTCTGCTCTTAATAATACTGACACAAATTTACCATCATATTCATGATTCTGGTTAGTAGCGTTTATGTTACTGTCGTTTCTGTTTCACTTGTGCTCATACGCTGGACAAAAAGATTTGTTGGAGAAATATGGAGTGAAAGAGAAAAGGTCAGATGGGTGGACAGACAGTGTTAAATGGAGTGAGATGATGAGATGACAGAATGATGATCCTTTTATGAAAGTGTCAAAAAAGCTATACAAAATGTAGTTACCATAAAACCCATTCTTAAAAAAAAGAAGAATGCCCATCAGAAGTTGTCTGGTCACAAGAAAAAATGGTTATAAAAACGCAAAACATTCATTTGTAATGCCAGGCGATGCTCAGTCACTGTTTACTGCGTTTTTTCACATTTCATTGCATTTTTAGGGTAAGTGAGGTTGAAATATTCCTAGCAAAGGAAAATAAAACATCTCATTTGTTTTCATCTTTGAAATGCGTGCTCTACGTCCCCTCTAAAAGTGCACACGTGACCTCAGCGACAGCCAAAGCCAGTTCACTGATTAGACAGGAAACAGGAAATGAGATCATTACCAAGTAATGAGTGCAATGGTATGAGCAGACACAGTGTAATTATTTTTAGCCACCAAACATCAGTAAATCTTATTTCACATATATTGAACCTCAGAAATGCTTGTATTTCTGCAGCTTTTAACCTTTTTCATTACAGTCCACCCAAAGAATGCCAAAAACTTTCCAACGGACTAACATTTGTACACACACACACACCAGTCCGGTATGCAAATAGTAATATATTACTAAAGGCCTTAAAATTTGTCCTCTTCAGGCGCTCTTTAAAAGTCACGGTTCACTTCAGTCAAACCTGTGTAAGAGAAAGAGGAAAAAAGTTGATCATTTTACATCTTCACACAGTCACATCTAAAGCACTTTCAGTTAGAGACTGCTAAAGAATCTGCTTCTCAAATCCAAAAAAAGTGGTGCAAACAATATGATACACATTTCCTACTGGATTTAAATGGCTTATGGTCACACTGATCCTAACTGAATCATCAGTCATGATCTAATGAAGTATGATTATGCTGCTTATAAGTCCTCCTGGGAAGATACATGTTGGAAAGCCATTATTAAGATGTGGGGGAACGGGTTCAAGTGATTTGCGTCAGAATAAAAAGCACACGGCAACTGCTTATTTCTCCTTGCCACTTCTAGGAGTTTTTTTTAGTGCTAGTGGAATTAAAGAAAGAACGAAAGATGTGCATTATGTACATGATTTTCTTGCTCTTTTAGATATTTAACTTTATCTTACCTTTATCCAAACTACACAAAATATGTACAAACTTAAGTGTATTTATAATTAAGCTCTGCTCAAAACATCACGTTTGAGGTTAGATCAAAATTCAAGAATATTTGCAAGGTTTAGAAGAACAGTGTGCTGAATTTTTCATGCTTTTGTTTTTTTAAATGATAAGTTATGACTTTTTGCACTAGCAACATGCAGTAACATAGATAAAGTGATGTACACTACCGTTCAAAAGTTTGTCATTGTCATTTATCATTTATAATCAATTTCAAAGAAATGCTTTTTATTAATCAATGAATCCTGAAGAAAAAAAACAATGGTTTTGACACAAATATTAAGTAGCACAACTGTTTTCAACATTAATAATAATAAATGTTTCACCAAATCAGCACATTAGAATGATTTTTGCAGTCTTTAGGATCACGTGAAATAAATACCATATAAACTTGGCAGAGAATATTTTGAGTTTCCAACTCAAATGAGCACTGATATGCCAGCATTAGATTCCACAGGAAAGAATAGATGTGACACTCACACTCAGAAAAACAGTGAGAACAGACAGGTGGTACAAACAGTAGAGTTCAGAAGAGCGAGATGCTACATTTACCATTTTAATTAATCCTCCTTTTTCTCACTGCCTCTTTTTCGAGGCACGAACACCTTGCGGAGGTATGGCAGGACGAGAAAGGCAATGAAGAAAAAGATGTGACCAGAGAAATATATAGAGGAGTACACCTGGAAAACAAAAGCATTTCAAATGTAAATGACACTAGCAAACACTTGGATGGATACAGGAGGTAAAGATCATGAACATCAGATTCATGATGCTGAGGAATAAGAAAGCACCTTGAGCCACTTGTCGTACGTGAAGAGGCAGAATGGCACCAGAGGGTATCCCATAAAGAGCCAGTGAATTAACTGCTGTACTACATATACAAATGGATACAGATGACTCTGAGCAATAGATGTCAGCAAAGGACTGTCCCGCACCAGTGTCTCAGCCTGCAAAAATATTTACAAAACAGTTTTAGCCACTTTCTAAAGCCTTTGTCTAACAGCATGTGTCCACTTGTGCAGAAGAAATGCTCTATATGCTATTCAAGTTGTATGAATTAACATTAACTTATGCTTTAAGAGTAAACAACGAACAATGCTATATTAATAAATGGACCTTTTTCACATTTCTGGGGTTCCCAGAAATGAAAGTTGTTATTGTTGGGGAAACTTCTATAGTGGTAAACGAAACTAAAACAAATATTTTTGTGTGTTCTCATTTGCCCCAATAGCAAAGGAAAACACAAACTACAGCGTTAAAAATGTACATTACTTTAAAAAAAAAAAATGAAAATATAAAAAAGCGGCTAGATTTACAATGTTGAAACACAAAGTCTGTGAAAAGGGTCCATTAACATTAACCTAGATTAATAAATGTTGCTTGCTTTGCTTCCCTGTATGAGCCTGTCACTCAGTTCCCATAAAAAATCAAGTGAAAACACTTCGCTCCACTCACTCCGCACCGGTGGACACATACCACAAGTAAACATCCACAATGTTTCAATCTCGCCTAGAGCCAGAGTTCACTGAACAAAATTACATTTCAACTCATTTTATTTTTCTCCTGAGAAGGTAAATGATCAAGCTCTACCATTAGCATTCATCAAAAAAATGTGTTTGGTCTCAGACAGGAACATTAATAATAATAAATGTTTCACCAAATCAGCACATTAGAATGATTTTTGCAGTCTTTAGGATCACGTGAAATAAATACCATATAAACTTGGCAGAGAATATTTTGAGTTTCCAACTCAAATGAGCACTGATATGCCAGCATTAGATTCCACAGGAAAGAATAGATGTGACACTCACACTCAGAAAAACAGTGAGAACAGACAGGTGGTACAAACAGTAGAGTTCAGAAGAGCGAGATGCTACATTTACCATTTTAATTAATCCTCCTTTTTCTCACTGCCTCTTTTTCGAGGCACGAACACCTTGCGGAGGTATGGCAGGACGAGAAAGGCAATGAAGAAAAAGATGTGACCAGAGAAATATATAGAGGAGTACACCTGGAAAACAAAAGCATTTCAAATGTAAATGACACTAGCAAACACTTGGATGGATACAGGAGGTAAAGATCATGAACATCAGATTCATGATGCTGAGGAATAAGAAAGCACCTTGAGCCACTTGTCGTACGTGAAGAGGCAGAATGGCACCAGAGGGTATCCCATAAAGAGCCAGTGAATTAACTGCTGTACTACATATACAAATGGATACAGATGACTCTGAGCAATAGATGTCAGCAAAGGACTGTCCCGCACCAGTGTCTCAGCCTGCAAAAATATTTACAAAACAGTTTTAGCCACTTTCTAAAGCCTTTGTCTAACAGCATGTGTCCACTTGTGCAGAAGAAATGCTCTATATGCTATTCAAGTTGTATGAATTAACATTAACTTATGCTTTAAGAGTAAACAACGAACAATGCTATATTAATAAATGGACCTTTTTCACATTTCTGGGGTTCCCAGAAATGAAAGTTGTTATTGTTGGGGAAACTTCTATAGTGGTAAACGAAACTAAAACAAATATTTTTGTGTGTTCTCATTTGCCCCAATAGCAAAGGAAAACACAAACTACAGCGTTAAAAATGTACATTACTTTAAAAAAAAAAAATGAAAATATAAAAAAGCGGCTAGATTTACAATGTTGAAACACAAAGTCTGTGAAAAGGGTCCATTAACATTAACCTAGATTAATAAATGTTGCTTGCTTTGCTTCCCTGTATGAGCCTGTCACTCAGTTCCCATAAAAAATCAAGTGAAAACACTTCGCTCCACTCACTCCGCACCGGTGGACACATACCACAAGTAAACATCCACAATGTTTCAATCTCGCCTAGAGCCAGAGTTCACTGAACAAAATTACATTTCAACTCATTTTATTTTTCTCCTGAGAAGGTAAATGATCAAGCTCTACCATTAGCATTCATCAAAAAAATGTGTTTGGTCTCAGACAGGAAATGTCATTTGTAAATATTTCATCGACTTTCATTTAATGTCTACTGATGTCTCACATTTTCTGACGTGAGCACTATTTGTCATTTTCAAAACAGGACTGTGAGATGCTTCCTCATATACTCACAGCTGTCTGCAACCTGTAAGATTGCGTTTTACAAGCAAACTACTTGCAACAACTGCAACTGCCATTCTTAAGTACCATACTGTCTTTGCCAGCTGAATCTCACCATCTGTTTCTATGTTTGAAAATGCAGTTTAGTACCTCAATCACTCATCTCAACTGGCGTCAATAAGATTTAAAAAAAAAAAAAGAAATGAACACTTTTATTCAGAAAAAATGCATTGAATTGATCAGTAGAGTGACAGTAAAGACACGTATAATGCTACAAATTATTACTATTTTAAATACATGTTGTTCAACAAAGAATCCTGAATAAAAATGTGTCATGGTTTCCACAGAAATATTAAGCAGCACAACCGTCTTCAACATTAAAAATAACAAATGTTTATTGAGCCGCAAATAAGCATATCTTAATGATTTCTGAAGGATCATGTGACACTGAAGACTGGAGTATTGATGCTGAAAATTCAGCTTTGCCATCGAAGGAATAAATGATATTTCACAATATATTGAAACAGAAAACAGTTATTTTAAATTGTAATAATATTTCACAATATTATGGTTTTAATGCATTTACTAAATGCAAACTTCCAACAATCTTTCCAACCCACTTATGAATAGAAGAGTGTGTATGTATGTATATATGCACACATACATACATACACACACACTCTCTGTGTAAGCTGTTCAAGATGCATTTAATATTTGAAAACCTTACTAGTGATCTATAAGTATTCTACAATGCAGTTAGTTTTGCTCCATCCCTTACATAAGAGCAAGACTAAAATCCTTAAATTCTTAGTGAGTTACTAATCTCAGAAACACGGTTTCTTCAAAGCTGTAAACTTTCAGATCTGCCTTCGCTTGGCATGAAAGTATGTGACTCAAAGACTTCAGTCTTCTTGATTCTAAACAACTTCACGCCTCTTGTCTGGTATAGCAATGTTGCCATGGTTACCTGTCTCTCCACATTGACAATGATGAACTCCAACGAGAAGCAGATGAGGTACCCTGAGTGCAAGCCGTGCCAGACCGCCAGGAATAACAATGTGAACATTTGAGATAACAACTTGTTACCCAAAAACCTCAGCCTCTTAAACACTTGCCTGTATTGAAGAACAAGGGTGGAAAGAAAAGAGAAATTAAGAGAAAATTAATTGACACATACATTAAAAAAAAAAAGATTTTGAAAGACTCTGATTGCAATAAATGTCAAATGTATAAAAGCATGTGCATACCTGGCAACCCAAGCATTTGTGTTGATGTTGAAGGAATTGATGGTTCCTGTGAAGAGCGGTGTGGTCTCAAATAGCCACAGCCTCACATTTGCACAGGCATCCCATTGGTGCTCCCCTTTTTCGTTCTTCCCATTATAGCCCAGCCCAGAGAGTATACACACACCTTCCTAAGTATAAATATATCAATATAAATATATGAGAGAGAAATCTGCATTCAGTAGGTGCGTCCCAAATTGCGTACTTCTGCAATACTATTCTATGATGCTTTGTAGTGTAAATAGTGAGAGTAGTGCATTCACACTGCACTTAAATAACCGAAAAAATGAAGTGTGGAATGTTGGACACTTCATGCACTCAACTGTCGCAGTTTTAATTACGTTGCGAAGGGGGAGGGGCTATCATACTCAATGACAAAATAACCTTGTAAAATTCATACACTACATGGTTGAGTACATAGTGCATAAGCACATAGTGTATAAGTGCATAGTGCGTTATTTGGGAAGCAGTTAGTGATTTGGACACTGAAGTCACACATATTTAGGGCCCTATGATTTCCGTGATGCGGAATCACGGAATCCAGTCATAAAAACGGAATTTGTCAAATTTTGAATGAATCAATCAAAAGTAGACCATTAAACTTAAATCAAATCCCGATATGGACTAGTATCTGTATATATTAAGCCGCAAAAAGACTATTTAAATATGAATCCTGTATGTTCTGCGTGTCTCTGTGAACGAATGGCGCAGACGCACGGTTTCGTTTACTACACACACACTGACCCGCGCACGATGCTCGCGGTGATTTCAGTGTCTCCACCGTCTCTCTAAATGAGGACATAATTACATGAACAACATCTCCAGAACTGCTCTGAGAGTCACTTCCTGAGCAGTTTACAGTTTCATTTAAAACTAGCCTCATATCATACACACACAGAAATGAAAATTTAGAATTTGGTAGAATTTGGTAACAATAAAACACATGGTGGCAAAAAATAAAACAGGGCCCTAAACATGTAATTTTTGTTAAACTTTTAATAAAGTGATATGAAATTATGCAAGTTTCATGATTTTAATTAGTTAGACATGCTTTTGATTAATAAAATTCAATTTAACCATTAAAAAGGAGTCCAGAAAAATGGAAACGGGAAAAAAACTGAATCCAGAAAAAATAAAATGGATTCATAGGGCCCTACACATAAAAAAAAAATCATAATATTTTATTTGAAATCATTACACAGATAACAGCAGACTGTTTAAAATGTTAAGATTTTAGTAGTTGAGGTATACCTATGATGAAAATTACAGGCCTCTCTCATCTTTTTAAGTGGGAGAACTTGCACAATTGGTGGCTCACTAAATACTTTTTTCCCCCACTGTATATATATATATATATATATAAAATGACAGATGCTTTTAATGTGACTTGTTTGGGTCACTATTGTCAAAGAAAAATTCTAGGACAAAGAAAGGACTATGTAAAACAATCAAAATAACGCAAACACACCTACAAATCACAATCTATAGACAGTTTTAAGCCTGAAAACCTGTTCTACCTGTTCTTAACTAGAAAAAGTCATCTGGTTTGTAATTGCCTTGTTATACAGCTAACACATCTCCAAGAAGATAATAAATATACATTGACAGGGTTCACAGCATGAAATGTAATCACTCTCAATTACCACAGGTCTGCTCTTAATGGGGGATTGTGGTTGCATTGTTTACTCACCGTGATTAGCCAGCAGCTGATGTACTTATACAGGTTTATTTTCACCCACACTAGCATGTACACACACTTGTACCAGAATGGATGTGCCTGAATCACAGATTAAAACAAAGGATGAGATTAAATTAATCACTGCCGATGAATTATAAAAGGTCAAGCCTTATTTCATTTTGAACATGATTTTGCCTTACAAAACCATTCCAAAAATAATATGTTTTCAATTTAATTTACATCCAAGGGCCGGATTCACAAAAATCTTAAGAATGAAGTTAAGACATTTCATAAGATACATTCCAAGAAGTCCATAAGAAGTGCAAATTTGGATGAATTCTTAAACTTCTCAAATATTGACTTTATTTCTTAAGACAATAACAGGCGTTGGTGTTTATCGGAATGTAGGGTGATTATTGCCGAAAACTCTGCCTGAAGATTACCTTTATAATCACAAGTGTCTGACTCAATGGGAGTTCAGCACTCAGTGTTGCGTTTTTCTAATTCACCATGTATTTTGAATAGTTACTTTTAAACAGCTCATCTCTAGAGTGAGTGGTCTGTTGCATTCTTTTCATTTTGCTGTTTCTAGAGTGAATGTGTCCTTTATCGGTGTGTGTGTGTTTGTGTGCGTCTGTCTGTTAGCTTCTAGAGTGAACGTGTCCAGTGTGTGGGCACTCTCATTTGTGCTGAATGATGATGTTGAAAGTTACATTGTAATTTTTTAATTAAAGGGGTCATTGAATGCAAAATTCACTTTTACATGTTGTTTGAACAGAAATGTGTGTTGGCAGTGCGTGTACACATCCACCCTATAATGATAAAAATCCACCCAGTGATTTTTTTTTAAATTCCCAATAATAATGATTCCTTTCTCAGATCAGGCTGTTCTGAGATTCTTGGCAGAGTGACATAGTTCTGCACAGGCCCCTCCCACGAATGTCGATTGACACTGCCGTTTTAGCGTAGAGCCGCCCTGAGTGAGCTGTCATCAGCCCACCATTGTTTCGACGCCGGAGCAGGGGTATAGACAAGATTGAGGTGTTCTGTTGTTGGATGTAATAATGAACATAGCAGTCATCATTTACTCCTGCTGAAGACGCAGTGGATTACATTCGTTTCCGAAGGGAATACGCCCCCGATCTGCCTAAATGTGTCTATGTTCACATGAATCATTCGTGATCCAGCTTCACCTACAGAAGAAGTGAGTACAAGGTTTTTAATAAATCTTTGCAAATCGCCTTTCCTAATAATGTGCTAGTTAGCAAGTTCCGCAGCAAAATTAACTAAAAACTAAAGTTACCAGTCTCATGAGAATGGCTCGTGACCCCACGGAAGAGAGGGGTGAGGTGCGCAGATTTCATTAGCATTTAAAGGGACATGCACTGAAACGGGTCTCTGTGAACAGAGCTGATTTTGACAAGGTAAGAAGGGTGTTGTTTTATACTACCATTGAGAAATTTTAACCAAAGTATGTTATAGAATTTTCATTAAGACCCTAAAGAATCATATCAACTTGTGCAAAATGGGCATCCGATGACCCTTTTAAAACTATTTTACTGATTTGCAAATTCAGCATAGAGTTGCGTCACACATAATCATGACCAATAATTGTTACACATCCCTAGTTGTAATATGTAGCTAGTGTTTACTTACAACAATTATTTGGAATTGAGCCAATTAATTAAAAATCGTATTTTTGGGGATTGAAGACAAATTGGCAGTTATCCACTTTAAGATGTTATTTTAATTTTTTTTAAGACGATTCTTTTCAAGAATTAAAACTTAAATTGTTTAAAAACTATTTTTGGGAAAGTTATTCTCTTAAGTAAGGAAATAAGAAGCAAATGACAAATAGCAGTAATGTTGCATGAATCCGGCACCTGATCAATAAGCTAATTATTTCTGTGAGTGTCTGTAAAAAGGGGTTCAAATAACGACAATGAATAAGGATTTCAAAGATTTTTCAGTTGTTTGACACTCAGAATAACAAATGATTAAATTAGCAATTAAATATAATGATCTCCTTGCAAGGGACCCACTTCTTAAGATATAAAGACAACTACATTACATTATATATTTAGCATGAAGACACAATTATGTCTGAGAGAAATAATGTGATATTACTGAATACAGGCAATGTGTTCAAAATGTAATTCAAATTTTGAAATATATGATAAAAAAAATCAAGCAATTCAAAAATAATTAAATGATATTCTCATTGTATAAAAGTAAAAAGAAATTATTAAATATTATTTGGAAGACGTTTACATTGTTTTAAATTCACAGCATTGGTTTTCTACCGAGTATTATAGCAGTGTTAAATCAATAAATGTTTTTAGGTTTAGTTTACAGTCTCACTGCCTGAACGATTGCTGAAATGTATTAAAGTGACATTTGATAAGCTAAACAGATTAAATTAATACAACCGAGTGTCGTGAACACCCGTAACAATGACTCATTTTCAACATTTTTCACTCTTTGTGTGAGCTCATGTTAACTCCCTCCTCCACAGCAGTCAAAATGCAGTTATTTGACTTGCAGCAACTGTTTTCCATTTTCAAGAATATATAAATAGATGCCAAGATTGTAACTGACAGACTTAAAGCGCTCTCATTCAGACTGGGAGTTTGTGTGACATCAGGACAACACTGAAAAGATCCCAGAACAAAAACAAGTGACAGCTCATGAGATTCAGGTACAAGGCTGTTGATTTTGTGACTCTGTGTATTCACTTACCTCAAACTCATCTGTTAAGTAGTAGCTATCTGAGTAGTGTGGCCCACCTATTGCAAATACTGATAGGGTGATCAAACCTAAACCGAATCGCTTCATTGCTGGAACCACACTGCAAGAGCAGGAAACATTTGTTAGATTCGATTGTTAATTAACAGAGGACTATAATAATGGTAATAACTATTTATAATGGGCCTTAACACTACTGGTTAAGTTGATGTCAAAACAGTGTTGCCTAAACCTTGTTCACACTAACGATAATTTGCATTTGTGACCAAACATATAATTCATTTTCAATTTCCAACAACAGCGACAATTGGAGTCATGATATGTGTGCGCCGGCAATTCAACAAAGTTGAGAAAAGCTTAACTATATGTAAATATCAGAGACGCTATGTGGTGACTAACAATGGGAGCAAAGACTGTTATTTTTCTGCATAAAGTTATTGTGAGTTTTACTCTCCTCTGTATTTCTCTCTGTTCGCATACAGGGATATAATAAAAAAACGATGTCTGAAAAAGCGTGTCAAAAAGTGTCTGCATTTTGATTGACTTTTCATGCATTGATAATCATTTATTTTCCTCATGATATGATGCATTATGCACTGCTGCAATTCATATACAAACAACAAAATACAGAATGTTCATTTTCAGCAGAAAGAAAACGAATGTCTTTTCCAGATGAAATGATATCTTATTAATATGAGAAATGCATCCCATTTGTAATTAGATTTTCTAACTCTAGGGCCAGTTTTGCAGCCAGCCAATAACATCAGAGCATCCAGTGCCTATATGAATGTCTATAGCTTAATGGATAAAGATAAAAAAAGATTATGCATGTTGCAAAAGCACTAAGAGTTACTAAGACTTGTCCATTACCACGGTGCCCTTGAGCAAGTAAAAGTCACAAGACAGGAACTGTCCTGGTAATGGACAAATGAATCCTGCAAATCACTTTGGATGAAAAGTGTCCACTAAATGCTAATAAACAACTGTTTACAGAAGGTAAAATCATTGGTTTGACAGAATCTGGTTGAGCTGGGATTGTTAGAGTGTGCAATTTTGTGTACTCACCTATTGGGTGGCTGTCCAGGAACATCGGACATCTCTCGAGACACCAGATGCTGGTAGTTTTGCAGTGTAAACTGAGGCCCTACCAGGAAGCCTCCATAGAAGTATGAGAAACCAAAAACCTCCAACAAAGACGGTGTAGAGTTGAGAGCAGACTTCTTCTGGTCTGCACTCAGCTGAGACTGTTAGATAAAGAAAATGAGTCAATGAGTTAAAAGAGAGGGGCTGGGAAATTAGAAGATAACAGATATACACTACTATTTAAAAGTTTGGGGTTGGTAAGATTTTTTTTGTTTTGTTTTTGAAAGAAGTTTCTTATGCTCACTAAGGCAACACCCATTTCTATCAAAACACAGTAAAGACTGTTCAAGGTCCAGAAAGGTGGACATTGTTGAAATAGTCCATGTGACATCAGTGGTCCAACCGTAATATTACGAAGCTACAAGAATACTTTTTGAGCACAAAGAAAACAAAAAATAACGACAATTTCTTCTCTTATGGGTCAGTCTTCAACACGTGTTCACGAGAGTATCATGACTGATGAACCACTGATGTCACATGGACTATTTTAATGATGTCCTTACTACGTTTCTGGGCCTTGAACGTGTCAGTTGTGTTGTTGTCTATGCAGGGTCAGAAAGCTCTTGAATTTCATCAAAAATATCTTAATTTGTGTTCTGAAGATGAACAAAGGTCTTACAGGTTTGGAATGACATGAGGGTGAGTAATTAATGACAGAATTTAAATTTTTGGGTGAACTATGCTTAATAAAAGTACTATTTTTTTTTTTTTTTTTTATTGTTTGTACAGTAGTGTAAAAAAAACTTTTGTTCAGCAGTGTAATTCAGACAGTTTGTTCTCCAGAACTACTTATGCAAAAATGTGGGATTCATTAAAGGCAAAATGCTTTCAATTTTATACAGGGTCCAAAACATTAAGCAAATTTCTTCCCCACTTAAACCACATTCGGAGGTTGAAACATTACATTTCTGACTAGAAATAAAATATATTTGGGAGAAATGGTTCACCAGTTTTTTTGCTCTTCCATTCAGGCTTTTTTTTTTGCACTTTATCAACATGCAGTAAGTGATATCATGTGTCTCCTTTGACCAGATGTGACACTACCATCTGCCGGATTACCTGTGATGGATGTTAATACTAGGTGTAAACAGGGTTTATTATCGGTCATCCAGTAATCTTTACGCCCTCAATAAAACATTGCTTTAAGTTGAGTAAGAAACAGCTTTCTAGGGTGGCTACAGTAATTGAAACGGAGGAAGAGATCAACAGAGATATAACCGCTTACACACCATCACATGAAGAAGCTAACCGTGTTGAGCCACAGCTACTATTAATATTTACACAGAGGTGTTTAATCCGAGCCACAGATGAGTTGACTGCAGTACAGAACTAACAGATGACACACTTAAATCTTGGGGAACTTTCACTACACTTCACCTTGCCAGGCATCATTACACTTATCCATAATGGTCATTTAGCAGAATGGCTGCTACACAACTGATGAAGATACTTTGTGGCTCCCCATCAGTTCCTTGTGCTCAAGTCGTGCATAAAAATGCAAAGATTGATGCAGGAAGAGGAAAAGGAGTGAGATAATGATAGGAAGACGATGAGTGAACAAACACAGCAAAGGAAGACAAAAATGGTGGAAGTTAACAGCAGCTCATAAAGTCACACTCACTTGTTCTTTTCCACCGTCATAATAATCAAGTGCTAAACCTGCAATGAGAAAATGAAATCATCATCAGTGCTGGCATAACATGAGCTCTACCACTGACAGAGACAATCAGTTGTTAAGAAAAAAACAAAGGTGATGCTGATCACATATTAGTGATAATACATGTTTTAAATAATGGAAATTTACAATATGTTAGTGATAAAGAAAAAAACTGAAAATAAAGAATAACAATGGAAATTACAAGAGCACACTAACAGAAAGCACAAAAAGCAATAGTAAACTAGTAATATATTTAAAATACATTAATAAATACTAAATATAGTTCAAATCTATTAACATATTTACTCACATATCGCTCAATAAAAATTATAATTAAACTTTATTTGGAGTACTACTTGTGCACAATGCACACTATTAAGACTAAAATGTGTTGACCACTGATGAAGATTTGTGATCTTTGAATAATATCAGTCTTTAAATGCAAAATATTTCAATTGTACCTCAAGTATACTTGCAATAGTTTCACTGTAGCACAATCGAATATACTTCAGTATATCTTTAGTTGGACTTCAGCACTACTTCCTCACAATTAAAGTGCATTAAGTGCAAAATTAGTTGTTAGAATTTAGCAGACTTTAAGTCTACCAGTTTAGTATACTAAAAGTACAATTGCAGGGTATTTTTATTAAGTACATAAATATGTAAACGTATTTGTAGTATACTTAGCATGAAATTAATGTATTTCAAATACATTTTAGCCTATTTATCTTTCACTAGGGTTATCTGCCAATATATTTTTAATTTATTGTATGGGTGGATATTTATTTTGTATGTTCATTATTTCCTCTATTTTACATTTCCTTTCAGTTATCTACCATTATTGTACCAAAGTATGTTGTGTTTGTAACCATATGTCGATTCACCTTCAGAGCCTTGTGATAAATAGCTAAAAAGAATCAATTTGTAAATATATAAATTCTGAGGAGTAACAGATGAGGAAGATTAAAAGCAGGTATCATACCGATGAGTTTGAGCGCGAGCACACAGTGAGGCATGGTCCATTTGATATCATACTCCTCTGTAGCTGTGTAGTAATAACCCATCAACAGATATATCTGCCACACAAAAAACACCCTCAGGATCTGTCGAGATTGACTTTACTGTTTTAATGTCTGGGGTCAAAGCGACCCAAAAGACATACATGTTCACTTTTATAATTAAGCTCTTATTTTCCCTTCACATTTTTTTTACGTTGTTCTGACCTAATCAAAACTCAGTTGGTACATATTTTTTAATCTTTACTACAATAGACATGCACTTTTCAGAAATGAGACCGCTAGACATTCTTTAACGTTAATGTTGTTTCCGCTTGGGTCAATTCGACCTTAGCAAAAACACTCTACAATAAAAAACACAATTACAAAAACCAAAAAAGTAAACTATACAAAGAATACACCAGTCAGAAAATATCAGCGTGGGAATTTAATCATGTTTCATACGAGGCTCTGTGTGACCCAGACATAAAATAGCCTATAACATTTTTCATGGAGGATGGCTGTAAGATAAGTCTTCATAAGAGTAAGAAAAGTCATGAAGAATTAGTCTGATACTTCAATGTTAAATATGTTTCTATAAATGATAGGGTACTGATAAGCAGTGTTGGGCAAGTTAAGCTGAAAATGTAATCAAATTACTGATTACTCCTTTTAAAAGTAATCACATTACTGTTCTGATTACTTTATTTCAAAAGTAATTAGTTACATTACTAGTTACGTTACTTTTTTCTCCATGAAATTTATGAAATGCCAGCATACACGCTCCTGATACATATTTGTTATTAAAGCATCAACATTCACAGAACACTGTTATTTTTTAACTAAAGCAAGCGGCTGCTGCGTGCATGGTTTGGCAGGGCAGAATGCCAGCAAATAGCGCTGCATTTATAATCTCTAAAAGACATCTCAGTTCATCGCAATATCACAAATCTCTGTTAACACAATAAATATATGCATAATGAATATTTCATAATGTCTACAATTCGTGTGCTATAATGAGAGGATTCGTGAGCACGCAAATTTTCACACGAGTCTCTGCACTCGCATATCAAGTCTTGTCCTGCGCCGCACTCTGTTGAGTCGGGTCTCGCGGGAGCAGGTCTCTAATCCACTGGCACTTGACTGGACAGTGCGTGTGCTACATCCTTTTTACAATCTCTAGATTATAAAACACTGCATTCTGTCAGCAATGTAACGCGGCAGTAACGTATCGACACCTCGGCTTGTAACTATACTCTAATTACTATTTTTAAAATTATAACGCGTTAAATTACTCCGTTACTAAAAAAGTAATCAAATTACAGTAACGCGTTACTGCCCAACACTGCTGATAAGCTTGCAACATTTCATGCATGAGATCACGTCAAGAGTGCAGGAACAGATATAGAGATGTGTGTGTATGTGTGTGTGGTCTCACCATCTGAAAGATAAAGCTACTCAAAACGCACGTGACTGTCCTTCCCATCAGCCTCAGCAACAAGAACTGAATGACTATGCATAAGAAGGAGTGACAGACCCGAGACCCTGAGAGAAGGACATAGAGATGGTGTTATTGTGCTACCTGACCATAAGATAACAATATAACACTTTATCAAGAATCAAAACGGAACAGAATACTTCATCCAAAATGACAGTTCTGTTAACATTTACTCAACCTCGTCATTTCAAACCAGTATGATTTTTTTCTTCTTCTGTGGAACACAAAAGGAGATTTATTTATTAAACGAGCGAGGACCTTTTTGAAGGTCTCTCAGTTCTCCATATTAGAAATTGAGAGAGTACATATGTCAAACTCCAAAATACTAAAAACACTATTAAAAGTATAGTAAAAGTGATATTTTCTATGTCTATGAAAGTGCGCTATTCTACATTTGCTTAAACCATACGACAGTTTTCCGCAAGATACAGACTAAAATTTTACATTTATTCACTGACAAATCAAATACGGCAACTTTGACATTAATGAGATTTGCTCATGAGACACGCGAGAATCAATGGTGTTTGATGTAATATTTTCAAAGACTCTATGACTTTTTTAAACATTGTAGAGCAATGAAAAGTTGAGGGGAAGATTATCAGTGAAAAACTACAAATTTTTTGGCATTTTCATCGCACAAACATGAGATCATGAAATCGCCATGCAGTCCTTAACTCCGACTGAAATATAGTGCACAAGCTGTATGGACTTCATTCATGATACTTATTTATTTGACATTTTGAAGCCTGTGAGACCCAGTTTTCCATTCACATTCATTATATGGAAGAAAAGTAAAACGTCGCTTGGACATTCTTCAAAAAATCTTCTTTTGCGTTCTTCTGAAGAAAGATTTTATGAGTTTGTAACAACATGACTGTAAGTGAATGACGCTGAGAAAGAGAACACTGTCATTTTTGTCTGAACTATCCACTCAAAGAAATGACGTAAAGAGAGAATTATTTTAAACAAGTGAGAGAGAAAACACAAAGTGAACTATCTCAGATAAAGACAAAGAAAGACAGACCTGCTGTTAGATCCGAATGCAGCACAAAGAAATCAAATACACAGAATACAAGCACAAGTAAATTTTCACATTTCCCAACACAACACTCATTGGTTTTCATTAGCTTGCTTTTCAACCTGCCACTCATATTCTCATTAACTACATTCTGACCACCAGGGGTTATCGCCATGGCAACAAAACCTCTTATGTCAAAGCCACAGTCACCAGGAAATCATTACCACAGACTGCAGAGCAGTTAGTCAGGAAACCCTTCATTTTCCCTCCATTATTCTCAAGGACACTAAAGAGTCAATAACTTTACAGAGTAGAACTCTACCTTCAGTATTCAAACAAGTGACAAATTATTCAAGAGGAAATCTGACAGGGGCCAAAGCCACTTCATCATCTGACATCTAACAAGACTTTTACATTGCTACAAAAATATTTCGGTTTCAAATAAAATGCTGTCCTTTTGAACATTACATTCATTAAAGAATCCTGAAAAAAATTTACCAGTTGCCACAAAAAAAAACAACAACAAAAAAACAAGCAGCTATCGGTTTTCAACAATTCAGCATATTGAAATGATTTTAAACTGAATTGTAATAATATTTCACAATATTACTGTGCTTGTTTGATCAAATAAATGCTGCCTTGATGAATATAAGACTTCTTTCAAAAACATAACAAAAAACCTTAAAACCCCAAAACTTTTAAACGGTAGTAATATAGTATTTTATGAATTTTAGAGCAACCGTTTTCAAATTAGGAAACTGAGAAAGAACATTTAAAAATATCTGCTTAAGATCGTATCTTTGACTAAATCAACCGCATGATGTCTGAGGGATCTGAAACAGAACTATAATATTACATAATCGTAATCTTCCTGTTTAAAACTCCTATTCAGCAAGAAGAATGTTTTGAACTTTTGCACAAATTTACAGATTGTATTTGAGAAGATGACTGGCGGGAAAAAAAGAACCAGCTTTGATGTTGTTCAGTTTTGAGAATGCTCAAGGCTTGTGTGTCTTATTAGATAAGAATCGAATGTGTGTGAACAGAGCAAGTTCAGGATTACGGAAACTAGGGGAGCTGAACTGCAGTAAAAACGCTCCAGTCTAAATATGGACCAACAGCCGCTAACTGCGGGCCGCTGAGTGCTAGTCGACGAGCCCGGCCATAGATCATAAGACTGACATCAGTGTAATCATGACCAGTAGTGTGTTACTAAAAAAAGGCTAGTAGGTCTAACTTAAACATGTTACAGTTGTGAGGACACTAGTTATCAGTTCTTTCAGTTCTTCACTCTTTCCCTGCTTCCTTCTCTCTCTCACCAAAATTAAACGTGGCCAGTGCCAGCCCGGAGAATGTGTGGAAGAGATGAACAACTGTTGCAGATTGATGAAAGAAAAACCACCGGTACACCAGTGCAAAGGGATAACCTACAAGGAAAACAGAGAGAAACAGATTAGGCACATGACATGATGCGATGCAACTGTAGACAAATGCTCCCTGCACCCTAACAGTCAAATCAACACGCATTACGGCACATAACAATTGTCTTCTGAGGGTGTGACACAGCAGAGAAAGCTTTGACGGACTGGAATGTGTAACATCTGTTTTGAGGGTGTGGCCAGTTAAAAGTCAAGCAAGAATATAAAGATAGGATTTCTGAAAGCACAACTGAAAAGTAAAGAATTAAGGATGTGCCAGTATTAAAATTATGAATGACGGCAAGTTGATGATTATTCTCATGTTATTGTGACCATTAAGTGACCAATATTAAGATTCTATAATATTTTGTCTGAAAATGACAAACAATACAAGAATGCTACAAATACAAGTAATACGCTTTAATACAACAGGTAAAGTTAGGCATCACAATATTATAATGTACAGTATGATAAAAGGAATATTCCCGTTATTTATGTAAAGAATACATTTAAAAGGTTTTTAATAGTTGCAGTTTTATTCAACAGTAACAACTCTGCTTAAAGTTTGCATTAGTTGGTAATCTAAATGGAAAAATATATTGTGCATCCCTGGTAAAGGTTAAAATATTTGAAACTTTGGGTGTTAATTCTTTTTTTCTTATATGTGTATCATGCTATTCTCATTTTTCAGTGTTCTCTGATGCCTTTTAACTGTAGGAAGTCTTCACTCTCTGACACAGTTCTGCATTTCAGTTTTGCCATACATGAATGAATAAATATTAAAACAATTCTGGATTTCATTCAGTACAGATTTACAATAAAAATGGACTCGAAGGCATCAAGCAAAAAAAGCCCTGGAAAATCAGCATAAGTTTAGTAGGCATCATTCTGATGCTAGATCCATACTGTTAAAACTTCATTGACACTTTACACATTACAGACACATTAAACACACAGTAAAGAAACAGTCTTTGCACTGAAATCATGCAAATGGTCAAACAAGCGTCTATGCCCAGGTTGAGCTGCCCCATATGTCATTCATCTGGTTGAAGTGGTTAAGCATTCCACTGCAATGCACCTGACCAAAGTACAGATCACCCTGCTATCTGTTCTCACACCCCTATTCTTATCAACCTGTATAACCTGATAGCTCGAAACCCAACTTCATTTGCATTGAAAGGTTACAACTAACTGTTGGTCAAACAACTACAATTCAGTAGCAAAATAAAAAGACAGCTGTCAGACGAAGCTCTAACGAGACTGGAACTACTTTTAGTCCGAACATTCATGGCAGTTGTGTGCAGTTAACCATGAAATCTCGCCTGGCAGGTAGGTCACCCAATTCTGCCTGGAGTCGGTGTGAATGGAGAGAGCTGTTGTTGGTAGCGTGTTTTTAGTGCTGCTGGGAGCATGGTGGACAGCTGTGTGACTTGAGCACACTTCTAGTACAACTACATAACTGTCCCCGTTTTTAATGACTCCTAACGACACTTATTACAAACCCGCAGCAGAGTCTAAATTACCTCGTTCACTTACCTAATAAGACTGACAGAATCAATCGAACCGCCGGTTCGGGTGAACCTAAATATTCGGCTAATTTCTCCATGAAGGGAGCCGCCATCTTTAGTGTGGGCGGAAGTAGCTGCGGTTGGGTTTCCGTGAGTGTGTGGAGCTCGTGAGATCTCCACGCGCTCTTTAACTGCGTGCAGTTACTCCTCCTCTCGCCACCTCTCACACCATTCACAATGAACCTTTAACTTTCAGCTTGCGCAAACGCCTTGCTCAATATTTGTGCCATTTCAGTTCAAAGAACCTAAATGACCCGCGGAATGGGGATGAAATAGTTCATTCAGTATTAATCAGTGAGTTTAGGTTTGGATAAAAGCACACACACAGCAAATGTTACGAATGATATGCATATAATAAACTGAAGAGTGTCGTGATATAAATATGAAGCAGCGTCACATTACTCCCCTCTAGTGTTTGTTAAAGCAAACGGGAATCGTACAGTTAGGTGGCACTGATCCGGTTGCTTATGCTCTGTATGCTAGGAATTGTTTGTTTCGTTTCCAGCTCAAAGTTTTGCATTTCTCAAAATTGTTTTATTTTTATTTCAACCTCTAAAGCAGCTGAAAATAAGGAATGCCTTCAAGCTCTCTAAATGATTATATATCGATTAACCCGCATTCACGGTTGCTGTGTTTTACCTCCATATGTCTCGGTATTTATTACTTGTAAATATACATTACTTGAGTATTAAACTACACTTAAAATCTAAGCCTCTAAAAGCCTAACAGGATTGAATTATTCTACTTTAATACAGCTCTTATTAATTTCTAGCACACAACATCATCGATCTCACATAACGTTAAAACGCTTCACTGCTGAATTTCAGACATTAGTAGTTGGCTTCCTTTTAAAGGAAACCTTCTGGACAAATTCTAAAAGAGCAAATTTCTGAAATTAATGAGCTCTATGAATCGTACTCTCTACTTTCGACAGGCATATCGATCACGGTGACTATATAATTGGAGTCAAAACAAGTTATAAAGAAATCAGAAGACCAATTTAAATTGAAATAATTGTTCCATTTATAACTATTCGTGCATTTCATGCAACAATCTTTTTTAAATACCTTAAAAAAATGATGGAAAACATCTGTATATATTTGACATTTGCGAAAAGGATTGTGGGTATGCAAATTTAGTCCCACCTCCAAGACCATCTTTGCCACTGAAGACATGTCGCCCCCCATCGGCCCCGGTTAAATATGGCAGATTTGTTTTTGCTATTTCACTTGGGTGTTTCTAAAGTAATAGATGAATAGAAATAATAGAATTGCAATTATGAAACAAAAAATATTTTAATATATTCAGAGTTGCCCACACACCGTTAATATGCGCCAGTCAATGTGAATGTGATTCTCTTTCATTTCTGCACGCACCACAGGATATTACAGAAAACAGATGAATATATATATATATATATATTACCAATTTCAAAATTTTACTAATACAACCAGGAGTTACAGCATGATAAACATAATAAATTAATTAATTAATTAAAAAAATTAAAAGATAGAAATAACCATAAAAAGTTAGACACTAACATTTTTACAAAAACATTTCTTTTCAAATGTAATATTGTTTTTGTACATTTATGTTACATTTTATTTACATTACACGGTTTAGATATTAGAAGTAGCAAAATGCCATAAATGAAAAAAAAAAAAAACATTTTCAAAACAGTTCACATTATGTGTTCTTTAAAGGGGTCATATGATGCTGCTAAAAAGAACATTATTTTGTGTATTTGGTGTAATGAAATGTGTTTATGCAGTTTAAGGTTAAAAAAACCACATTATTTTCCACATACTGTACATTATTGTTTCTCCTCTATGCCCCGCCTTTCTGAAACGCCTCGGTTTTTACAAAGCTCATCTGTCTGAAAAGAGAGGTGTGCTGTGATTGGCCAGCTATCCAGTGCGTTGTGATTGGCCGAATACCTCAAGCGTGTGACAGAAATGTTACGCCCCTCACATACTGTGATGATGCCCTGTCAGGCCGGAGCGATGATTCAAAAACATGAAAACCCATTATAAACGAGGCATTCGTTGCATCCAGTGGGGACATAATTATGGATTACAATGACTTATACTGTCTTTTTACGCTTGCTTTGCATCGTGCCGCGTAAACATAAACCAAATGTATCATGCCTACATTTGTGATCGGAGAAATGACAAACAACAAGCCCTACTCTACACTGCCCAAAAAACTGTCTTTAAATATAAAAAATATTAAATATAAAAACTCTTTAAATATGAAAAACTTACTTACAGTCTGTGAGTCAGAACAGCCGGTATTGTAGTCTACTCTCCCAGGATCAGGAAACAGTCCCAATACTACAGCGAGAATACTGTTCTTTGCGTGAACATTTGGGTGGCGTTATGCAAATCTTCCCACATAGTGAGGTAGATATGTGGGGGCGTGTTAGAACGAGCCGTTTTAGGTAGGCGTGGTTGACTCTTAACTTTTATAAAGAATATCTCTTTGGATTTGAGACTTTAGTCTTTGCAACTTTACAGATCTTCTTTATGCACTAAGAGCTTGTAACACTCCAAAGAGAAAGGAAAAATTGAAATCGCATCATATGAGCCTTTTAAAAAATGAACAGTAATGAACAGTGGGTATGGATTTCTCCACTATGATGAAATGACGTTAATTTTCGCAGGCGTGCTGTCTTGAGCCAATGGCAAGCGCGGGGGGCGGAGCTTATTAGCCAGCCTTATATAAACTCAAGCGCACATCCTTTCTTCGCCGTTTCTTCGACCGGAGGTTGTGCGTGTTTTTCTTACACCGAGTATTTTCTGGGGGAAGCAACACTTTGCAGTCATGACTGGCAGGAAGTTTTTCGTCGGTGGCAACTGGAAAATGAACGGCGACAAAAAGAGCATTGAAGAGCTCGCCAATACATTGAATAACGCCAAACTCAACCCAGACACCGGTGCGTATTTCAGTCAGTTTCCTCTTCACTAGGACACAAACACAGGCCTTTGAGGCTTTGTGCAACATACTGCATTAACCGTGAGATGACATTCACGCGGGACTCTTGACAGATCTCATCATATCATCTAGAGCTCTGTCTCGTTGTATTTATCATCTCAGTTTTCTATAGATAGCTCTAGATTAATCAGTAACCAGACAGAAGTGTCCTGCATAAATTGTGTCCTAACTATAGACTGTATAAAAACAGGTCCTAACATTTAAACCAGTTTCTTTTATAAATGCGGAGGCTATATAAAGCACTATTCGTCGATTGCCCGTCAGGTGTTTTTGGATGAATGAGTGAGTGATGCTCATCGTGTGTCGTGTTTCAAGGGTTAAAGCTTGAAATGGGTGTGTGATTTCCAGCACGTAGCCACAGTGTGCATGTTCAAGGTCTGTCAAATCAAATGACAGGATGATCAATATGTTCGGTTTATCAACAAAACGGTGCTATATTAGCTTATGCTGTTTCTTTAAAAAGTAATATTTAAAAAGAACGATAGTTGCTACAAAAACGCATTTTTGAGGGCTTGCGTTCCGCGTTTCCGCTATATTCACTCTGACGTAAATCTGCATCTCTGTCCGAGGTACGGCTGTATTTGAGAATCCACACAGGGCTGATCTGTCAGCAGCACAGCGACAGCAGTGGACTTCGAATCTGTCTGCTTCATTCACGTGCTGAAACCCGAGAGAAGCGCTAACACGCAAAGGTCATGGGTCAGCTTTTGCCTTTTTGCTTGACTTCATGCCCTCTGTAGTATGCTGTCATACGAGTACCCTTTCCTTTGACCTTTTATCAAGGGAGATAAAGTGCCAGATATGTGTGCCCTTTACAGTGAGTTTAATTTAGTCTGACCCAACATAATTGTATAGTATAAATGCCACATCCAATGGCAATACGGTAATACAGACCTATTATTAACCCTAAAATAAAAAACTGGCATATGAAACAATAGTCAGGCGTGTTTTATGTGAAACCACTTATTGAAACTTGTTTTGTATCCTATTATTCAACACTTGAGGAGGTAAAAAACTTAATAAATTTTATTAAGAGGCCCAAACTGAGCAATGATATACTATTTGGTGCAGAGGAGTAAGATGAGTTCTGACAGCTTGTAATATATATCTGATTTTTTTTACAGACTACTTGCATAAAGTGTATCTGAAACTTTATATCTCCCAATATTATGTCTTAGTAAGATGATATTTAAATGCTTAGTTTTATGATTAAAACTCAGAATTTATTATTTTGGAGGCAAAACATATCATTCCGTGAAATACAATAATTGAAAAATTCACTAATTAATGTTTTTCAAAACCCTAGTGTGTCAGATTTGATACATTTTAACAATTTTTGTTTCAATCCATTAAATGTTCATCTTGAAGTATCTATAACAATATTAAAGTTAGTCTGTTATTGTACTTAAAAACAAACAAACATAAAGACGTGCAAAAGGCCTTTTACTTGCGAAAAGGGTTTGAAGTATTAATCAAAAACAGAAGGCATGTAAAGGTTTTTCAGCCCGATTTTGATCATGTTTATAATTTAGAGGCTTTAGAAATTCATGTATCAAATATGATACAGTAGACTGTAGGCAGGGGTAAGAAAAAAAATATTCACCATCTTGTCTCAGCTTAGCTTTCAATAGATTGCTACTTTTAGAACACATACTTTTGTGAATTTATGTAAAAAAAAAATCTAATATTCTATCTTATTTCTATCTTGCAATGTTCTTAATCGAGATGTCCCGTCAGCAATCTGAATGGTTAAATATCTTCTGTTTGTTAGGGACATGCAATCTGGGCTTTGCTTTGGTGGACTGTCACGTTAATGAAGCCGTTATTACGAATCACAGTGATTTTTCCAGTGGTGATTTAACGTGTTTATTTTGTCTCACAGAGGTTGTGTGTGGTGCTCCATCCATCTACCTCGACTACGCCAGGTCCAAGCTGAATCCTAACATTGATGTCGCGGCACAGACCTGCTACAAGGTTGCAAAGGGAGCCTTTACCGGAGAGATCAGGTACATGTCAACCAATTAACAGTCCAGAGAAATGGTCAGATATAAAAAAATATGTAATAGAAATATATTTATTTCAATTTATTCATGTTTTTGGTCCATTTTTTTCTATCCTTACTCATAATTGTCACTACAAATCATTTGTCTTATTCTTCTAGCCCTGCGATGATTAAGGACTGTGGAGTAAAATGGGTTATTCTGGGACACTCTGAGAGACGCCATGTGTTTGGAGAGAGTGATGAGGTAACCTTGATATGCTTTTATGCATATGGAATCTTATAGAAAAAAAATCATCAGCCGTTGTGGAGTGAATATAGTCCTCCATGTTTTTTATGTAGTTCATGAGAAATATCTTTATTTTTTTTATTTAAACATTATTTAAGAGAAAATGAAGTTAATTTAATGATGCTTTTGAGATGCAGTAATTATTTTAAATGTATTTGATGTCAGTATAATATGTTGACTTTGGATAAGCTACACTGAAACCATGTATTTTACTGCCCCCAAGTGTGTAGATTGATTTATAGCAGTTGTACTGTTCTGTGCATATGAATTATCAAGTGCATACTACTGAGTGTTTAGTTATGCCTATTTTGCCTACTGTTACTTTTTGGCTAAAACCAAAGTTTTCAGACACATCACCGGTGGCATTACTAAAAGCCCATTTGGTCCTGTTTAAAGAATCTCACACTTTTTTTCTGTTTACAAAAAAAGTCACAAAATAGGAATTTTTCTTTAAAACATATATTAAAGGGCTTCCTTTTAAAGGAAAACTGCTGGACAGATCCTGAAAGAGCAAATTTCCACTTAATCCTTGTGTAGTGAATCCTACCCATCACTTTAAGTGAGTATCTACTCATGGTGACTGAAACAGACCTGTGGTGAATGAAAATTTAACATAAAATGTATCATTATTATGCAAAAGTAAACACCCCCAGTGATGTCACCCACTACTAATCAGGCATACTGGGTCTGGACAAGAGTGCTTATGTTGGCCTTAAAGACAAGTCATGCCATGCAGTTCTGTAATACTAAAACATCAAGTTAACACTTGAACCACATTTCAGATTATCTTTCTTTTGGTTATATAAATGGGCTTCCTTTTAAAGAAAACCTACTGGACACATACTAAAAGAGTACATTTACAGTAGTCCTCTAACAGTGAATCCATCCTTTTGAGCGAGTATCTCACTCATGGTAACTGAAGTAAACCTAAGGTGAATAGAAGTTTAATGTAAAATGTAGTTTAAAGAATCTCACACTTTTTTTCTGTTTACAAAAAAAGTCACAAAATAGGAATTTTTCTTTAAAACATATATTAAAGGGCTTCCTTTTAAAGGAAAACTGCTGGACAGATCCTGAAAGAGCAAATTTCCACTTAATCCTTGTGTAGTGAATCCTACCCATCACTTTAAGTGAGTATCTACTCATGGTGACTGAAACAGACCTGTGGTGAATGAAAATTTAACATAAAATGTATCATTATTATGCAAAAGTAAACACCCCCAGTGATGTCACCCACTACTAATCAGGCATACTGGGTCTGGACAAGAGTGCTTATGTTGGCCTTAAAGACAAGTCATGCCATGCAGTTCTGTAATACTAAAACATCAAGTTAACACTTGAAACACATTTCAGATTATCTTTCTTTTGGTTATATAAATGGGCTTCCTTTTAAAGAAAACCTACTGGACAAATACTAAAAGAGTATTTTCAACATTTACAGTAGTCCTCTAACAGTGAATCCATCCTTTTGAGCGAGTATCTCACTCATGGTAACTGAAGTAAACCTAATGTGAATAGAAGTTTAATGTAAAATGTATTATGCAAATTTGAACACATCCCCAGTAATATCCGATTCAGATTAGATTCATTCTTCATTGTCTTAAAAAGAGGAGATTTGTTTTCACAGACTGTACCAGAAGCTTTAGTACACATACACACGCATTTACACCAACAACAGCATCAAAGCACAAGATACACACATCCTGCACCAAATATACATTTACACTCCTCTATCAATTAAGCATACTTTTTCTAAAGAAGCATGTTTACATGAACATGATAAAGTAATATATGATGAGCTGTGAGTATATGAATTTAAGGCAGATCTTTGTTTTTAACAGTCACAAGGAGCTTTCTTTTAAAGAAAGCCTACTAGACAAATACTAAAAGAGTAAATTTCCAACTAGCAATTGTGCAGTGAACCTCTCCCATTATTTTGAATGGGTACCTCATTGATGGTGACTCAGTCTTGCATAAGTACAGCAGCATTTGACCCAACTGGAAGAATGCATTATGGGTATGCACATTTGCCCATACTCCCATATTGTCTCTGGACAAAAATTTGATAAAAGTAGTACTTGTTTGAGGTTTATTTGTTCTAGTTTTTGGTAGATTTATTGTAGTAACATTATTTTGAACAGTAAAATTACAAGAATTTAATTCAAGTGATTAAAATATCAAGACGATTAGGATTATGCAAATATGCCACGCTCAAAAATAAAATGTTTGTTTTGGTACAAAACAGTATAACAGTCTCACATAATCAGCGATAATCAGTCAGCATTTTCTTATCAAATAAAATATCATATGCATTCTCTGATCTCATTCTCTCTTTTGATTTATCTTTCCTGCTAGCTGATTGGGCAGAAGGTCGCTCATGCTCTTGAGAACGGTTTGGGTGTGATCGCCTGCTTTGGTGAGAAGCTGGATGAGAGGGAGGCCGGAATCACAGAGAAAGTTGTTTTTGCACAGACCAAGTTCATCGCAGGTATCTTTCAATTTAGTGACGCATATGTGTATAATATTATAATAAAACATTCCTTGTATTTTATATAAGACTATATCATCTCTTTTAGATAATGTGAAGGACTGGAGCAAAGTGGTCCTCGCTTATGAGCCTGTGTGGGCCATTGGCACGGGCAAAACCGCATCACCCCAGCAGGTAGAGACAAGCCGTTTGACTCTGAACAAACATGTTTCATTTACCTCAGTGACTCAGTCTCTCTCTGCTGTTCTCTCAGGCTCAGGAGGTGCATGACAAGCTCAGGCAGTGGATGAAGGCCAATGTCTCAGAGGCTGTTGCCAACTCCGTCAGGATCATTTATGGAGGTCAGTCTCTTTGATTTCCACTCCAAACCGCTGATTTAAAAAAAAAATTTGTGTTTTAAAAGCACACGTGACAATGTGCTGTACATTTTTGTTTCTATACTTCTAGATGAGCTTTTTTTAAAGTAAACCTACTGTACAATAGGGATGGGCGTATCAATCCGAAGTATCGATATATCGATACTGATGCAATTATCGAAAGTATCGATACTATCGATAAATATCGATACGAAGGTGTGTTTTATTTACCAGGGATTTTGTTTATTTAACAAAAAAAATTATGCATTGAATTGGACGAGTAACCTATGTTAGCGAATAATTGTGTAGGATGGAACTATTTTCCTGCTCATCTGAACACGCAGATGTTGCAAGACAGAACCAATCGATCACAGAGAGCATTCGCTCACTTCTGACAGTGCATTCAAACAGGGGTGCGTTTCCCAAAAGTATCATAAGAAAGCATTAAAGCTTTTGGGAATGGCAGCCCTGAACAATGCTTATCAGAGGACAGAAGAAAAAACACATATGTTTGAGGTTTCACAATAAACAAATTGAAATTAGCCTACATAGTTTGTGCAATTACATTTATTGAAATTGAACGTTGAAAGATGATATTGGATCATGTTCTATTCTGTAATGTTAATAAATCATACACTGTCAAAAAAGGTTGCATTTTATGCGTGCAATAGCCTGTCACTGGCAGGCCCTTATGAAAATGAACCATGGTTTTACTATAGTTCAACTGTAGTATTTGTAGAGTCGAATCATGTGTAAACAAAAAGATAACCTAATAAGTTACAATTAAGGCGTATTGAATGTTAAAATGCGTTTTTAACAAAGTTAAGTGGTTATCATTACCCATTTTACTCTTAGTAATTTAATAAATTTAATAATTTAAAAGTTTAGTTCAGAAGTATCATTTTGGTATCCCCTTAAAAAGTATCGGTATCGTATCAAAAACAAAATAAGTGGTATCACCCATTCTTCTGTACAAATACTTTATATATACTATATATATATATATATATATACTCAGGGTGATGTAAAAGTTGGTTCAAGTTACATACAGAAAAGAGAGTTTTACTGGAGGTAGTATTACTAGAGATGTATATTTTTTATTTTATACATATATATATATATTAATAATAATAATAATAAAAATTAAAGAAAAAACACATCTCTAGTAATACTACCTCCAGTAAAACTCTCATCACTCTGAGTAGGTACATCAGTCATGGTGAATACAGCAAAGTTAACATTGTTGTAACTTGAACCAACTTTTCTGTATGCAAATTCAGACACACCTCCTTTTATGTTGTCACTCCCCACCTGCTGTTCATTAAAGGGGTCCTGTTATGCTTTTTCACTTTTTCAACTTTAGTTAGTCTGTAATGTTGCTGTTTGAGCATAAAAAAGATTTATGAAGTTACAAAGCTCAAAGTCCACTTCAAAAGGAGATATTTTATTTAACAGAAATCACTTTTCAAAAACTACAACGAACGACTCGTTTGGACTACAACGCATATTTTCTGAGATTTGTGATATCACAAATATCTATGAATGGGACGAGACCTGGTTGAGCTGCACTAGAGAAGGCAACGAGTGTTATCATCACTATGTCAGAGACACGCTAGCTTTCCCAAGGCAGACGAACTTAGAGTGGTTACAATCATCCGGGTTTAAAGTGGTCATATGATGTTGCTAAAAATAACATTATTTGGTGTAATGCAATGTGTTTATGCGGTTTAAGGTAAAAAAAACACATTATTTTCCATATAATGTACATTATTGTTTCTCCTCTATGCCCCGCCTTTCTGAAACACGTCGATTTTTACAAAGTTCATTGGGCTGAAAAAGCGAGGTGTGCTCTGATTGGCCAGCTATCCAGTGCGTTGTGATATGCCAAATGCCTCAAGCGTATGACTAAAATGTTACCATACTGTGATGCTGTCTCCCAGCAGGACGAAACAAAACCAATAAAACCCATTACGAACGAGGCATTTGTTGCATCCAGTGGGGACATAATTACTGATTATAATGACTTATACTGTCTTCTTTTTGAAGATTTGACTACTGACTTCTTGTTCGGTTTGTTTTATGAAGGGTTTGGCTAAACAGGCCAATAAGAAACCATTAACTAACTACTATTTCTTTTTATTATACATTACACATATCATTCAAATGTCTGCAAATGAATAAAACTCATTTGGGATTAGTTAAAAACTATAAACACTGGTTCATGGGTTCACAGAAACCTATTGGTGAACCATGGCCATTTTGAAACCTTTTGAAACCGTTATGATGTGACAAAGTCTTGTTTATCATATGACTTTAGCAGTTTGAAACACACTTTGAAACGAATGATTTGTTAATGCTTCACAGAGCAGTGCTTTCAAAACACCCATCACCGTGTTTTTAAAGACAATAATTGTTGTAGTTTAGTACAAACATGCATTAATGTATGTTCGATAGCTGCTTAACCTTTTTATTTAGTTTTTGACAAATAATGGAGCTTTCTTTTAAAAGTAACTTAATGGATAAATATTGGAAGAGCACATTTCTGCTTAATCATTCTGAAGTGAATCCAACCCATCATTTTAAGCGAGTATCACACTCATGGTGACTGAAATGCACCTAAGGTGAATAGAAGTTTAATGTGAAGTGTATTATGTAAATTCAAACGTGCCCCAGTGATTTCACCTACTAGAAATCAGGCATACGCTGTCTATGCTGGCACATAAGCAATAGAATAAAGTAACCACTAGGAGAGCTTTAATATTATTTTAAAAAGATAATGCTTCTGAAATATTCCAATATATATATATATATATATATATATTATATATATATATATATTTTTTTTTTTAACCGCTTTGAAGGGGCTTCCTTTTAAAAGACACCTACTGGACAAATACTAAAAGAGACCATTTCTAACTAGTTGTTGTGTAGTAAAACTCTCATCACTGTAAGTGAGCGTCTCATTCATGGTGACTGAAGCAATTATTTTCATTATGTTCAAAACTATCAGCCAACAAGACAAACACTGCAACAGTATTACAGTATGAATGTCTAAGGTGATTTTTTTCTTCTTCACACAATCGATAACCGAGACAGGCTCGCAGCAACTGTTTGTATAAAACTGGAGAGTGAGACTGTAGTGTGATATGAAAGATAAGAAACTAGCAAGCCAGATAGGCAATGATGAATATTGAGGAGCATTTGACTGCTATTGGAATCAAGCATTTCAAACAGCCCTATAGTAAACAAAAATAAACTTTGCTGTAATATATTATTTTTTTGGTAAACATTATGCTTTCACCCTGGTTTACTGCCCATACTATTCTGAAAATGTTTAAATCGTCATAATTTGTGGTAGTTTTAGAACTCAACACATGAATGTGGATTATAAAGCTGTTTGAAACTGTTCTAATACAAGTCTTTCTGTTTTTAACACTTTTCAGAAGTAGTTACAAATGTTAAATGAACCGTTTTCGATTTTAAAATATGTAATTTATTCCAGTGATGGTAAAGCTGAATTTTCAGCAGCTTTTACTCGTCACATGATCCTTCAGAATATCTTCTGTATACATCTTAAATATATACATATACACATTTTTTCCCCACAATTAAAACTTTTAAGTATTAACCCATTTTGAAGAGTTGTGTAATCTATACTGCAGAAATCGCTATCATATCAAAATGTACACAACCTACCGATTACTTGGTTCAGAACTACAAGGAATCTTCTTTTCCGTATTAATATTCACGCAGTTATTTTTGAATGAAAAATGCATGGAATATTCGAACTGGACAAAAGTCTTGTATTGCACCTCAGGGCGATAGTGTGCAATTTAAAGTGCGATTGTAAATGGCGAAAAACCTAGTTTGTGTAAAAAAATAAATAAAAATTCTAAATACACAAGCTATTACAAATCACTATGAGAAGCGGAGCAGGAAGCACATGCAAACCTTTGCAACTTGTCAAGTTTGCAGACTTAGTTTCTAGTAGCATAAAAAAAACATCAGATTTAATTCTTTATTTTTCTCAAGATAAGAAAGTAGGTACATTATATACAGATCAGCATCTACAATCGGCAGTATTTTCTCTATAAACTCCACTGTATATGACCACATGGAGCTCTAGATAAGGCAGAGACACTAGGGCTTTGAGAGGTTGAGCTGTAAAAGAAAAAAACAGATGCAAGTACAGTCCTATCGAAATACTTACTGCCAAGCACTGACTACATATAAACCAATCACAACATTGCATTACAGAACACAATAGAGGAAAGAAGAGGGAGACAAGAGGAACATGCAGAAAGAACAGATTGCTGAAAAAATATTAAAGATGAGACAAAGCAAAAAGAGTCAATGGCTAAAGTTGAAATAATGTAAGAACACTTCGAGGCAAATCTAAAACAATATGAACTGAAAGAAAAGCAAAGAGCTGATGCAGAGGAAAGACGATAAAGAAATTAGAAGTGCAAGAGGACAAGCAACATTTGAAGAGAGGGGATGAGACCGTTAGTAATACTGCTGTGAAAATATTACACCAACTACAACAGCAAGGGCTAAAAATACATTCCATGAAATAAAATAAATTGTGGCATCATTTGAGACAATCAACATTGCTTTGGACAATCCTTAAGTAATAGGCATTATGGGCAGCTAATCAACATTACCATTAGAACCTGCAGTGAGCTTTTAAGACCTGAGAGACATTACTGTATGGATTTCTAGAAAATGTCTAACCATCTGTATGTCCAGGTATGTCCAGTATGCAATTTTACAGCTTATATTAAACTCAAAAGTTAGACATCAGAAACCCCAGTCCATCAAAAAAACACCAAACAATACAGCAGTAAACAGCAATTGCCAAAAAAAACAAGCAGTCAAAACAAGACGCCTATTAATACACTTAGAAAAAAAATCAACGTTAATAGAGAAGACACACCTGAACATACAGCAGCAATTCTACTAAACACTATATGGAGCAATTCCTAAAATAAAACCCATACGTCATCTTCAGACTGACATGGTGGATTTGTCATGTTTCATAAAAGGCATCAAGAAAAACATTGCAAATTGAAATCACCAGGCTCTCCTCAAAATGACAAATGCATTAGACAACAACAGGCACAATGAAGAATCTCATTTGGCTGATGTCTGGATGTCTCAATGCCCATTTTCCAGTGTGCCTCTGGATTAGTTTTGCCCGCCTTTTCATCTTTTTCTTTGCTCCGAATGTGCATGACTGCAAGAAGAGACAGAGAATCTGGTAATGATGGAGTGCAGGAGGAGAGAGGAGAACAAGGGGTGGGAGGGGTTGAAGGTTGAGGAGGAGAGGAGAGCAAAATCAGTGTGGCAACCAGCAGCATCAGCAAAGAATTCATTTACAATGTACAACCAAATACAAGATGAAGGTAAACAAAATGAGCTAGAAATATTTGATAACCATTTCCCAACTTTAGTACTTTGGGGAAAAAAAACAACAAAAAAAAAACAACAAAAAAACCCCAGCTTGGGCTTAAACCAAATCTTTCTCTTATTGTTGGAAACTTCTGTCTAACAAGTGAATTTTTACAGGTATGAGAGCAAGAAAAGCTGAACAGGGAAACAAGGAAGATGATAAAACAGTAAGTCACAAAGCTAAGATGACTTTTTTTTTTAACCGCTTTGAAGGGGCTTCCTTTTAAAAGACACCTACTGGACAAATACTAAAAGAGACCATTTCTAACTAGTTGTTGTGTAGTAAAACTCTCATCACTGTAAGTGAGCGTCTCATTCATGGTGACTGAAGCAATTATTTTCATTATGTTCAAAACTATCAGCCAACAAGACAAACACTGCAACAGTATTACAGTATGAATGTCTAAGGTGATTTTTTTCTTCTTCACACAATCGATAACCGAGACAGGCTCGCAGCAACTGTTTGTATAAAACTGGAGAGTGAGACTGTAGTGTGATATGAAAGATAAGAAACTAGCAAGCCAGATAGGCAATGATGAATATTGAGGAGCATTTGACTGCTATTGGAATCAAGCATTTCAAACAGCCCTATAGTAAACAAAAATAAACTTTGCTGTAATATATTATTTTTTTGGTAAACATTATGCTTTCACCCTGGTTTACTGCCCATACTATTCTGAAAATGTTTAAATCGTCATAATTTGTGGTAGTTTTAGAACTCAACACATGAATGTGGATTATAAAGCTGTTTGAAACTGTTCTAATACAAGTCTTTCTGTTTTTAACCGTAATGAATGGGTTTCCTTTTAAAGGAAACCTACTGGACAAATACTAAAAGAGACTATTTCTGACTAGCAAGTGTTCAGTCAACATCTATGACTTTGAATGGGTACCTCATTGGTGGTGACTGAAACAATGACCTTAAACATGAAAGGCATTATGGGTATGCAAATTAGGTATCTTCAATGCCTTCAATAATACATACATTCCACCATGATACCAGTGTAGTTTATTGCTATACACAACTGGTGAAGCTGCTTGCGTTAGGGCTCTTGGGAAAGAATTTGCTTGACTTTTCAGAAGATTTAAGAGACATTTTCCAAGCAGCAGCAGATCCAAATACCATCAACAATACAATTATTTGATGTGTGCTGCTCTTTATATAAATAAAAATCCTTGTTCGAAATGTCACCCTTTTTATTGTCCACCATTTCAGGATCCGTCACTGGAGGGACCTGCAAGGAACTTGCTTCTCAGAAAGATGTGGACGGCTTCCTGGTGGGCGGAGCTTCCTTGAAACCAGAGTTTATCGACATAATTAACGCAAAAGCATAAAGCCATCGTCTACCTAAACCCTAAGGCTTAGGTCTGCTCCCAAATCCTGCTCTTCTTTAGAAAGTGTTATTGTGGTTTTGTTGCAGTCGCTTCGTATATATATATATTTTGTGTTATTACAAAGGGACAGATTGACGCGTACTGAACACTCAAGGGTTTTATTCCACTGAAACGCATGCAGCCGAGTGTGTTATTAGTCCTCCTACAAAAGTGAACTACAGGACTGTAATGAGAACCATCATGGGGCTTAGAGCCTACGCCTTTACTTGAATAATGTTTACCCACATTCTCGTGTATAGTGTCAAAAATCTAGGATGAAGTCAATCAACTTAAGTGTCTTTTTAATTCAAGCGAAACTACTTTCCATGAATGTGGTTGTCCTGATGTTTTCCTGTCCCTCAAAGAGTGTCTCTGAGTGGCCTATCCTGAAGGTGCTCCTATGTAATAACCAATGTCATTTGGTATGAAGGGATGACAAAAATATTCGAATAAATGTTTCAGAATGTAGACCTAATTTTACTGTTGTCTCAAGTTATTGTATTTCTACACACAAACTAACATTCATATGTAAACAAGTCTCTTAGGCTCACCAAATCTGCCTTTATTTGCTCAGATACATTACTTTTCAGAAGTAGTTACAAATGTTAAATGAACCGTTTTCGATTTTAAAATATGTAATTTATTCCAGTGATGGTAAAGCTGAATTTTCAGCAGCTATTACTCGTCACATGATCCTTCAGAATATCTTCTGTATACATCTTAAATATATACATATACACATTTTTCCCCCACAATTAAAACTTTTAAGTATTAACCCATTTTGAAGAGTTGTGTAATCTATACTGCAGAAATCGCTATCATATCAAAATGTACACAACCTACCGATTACTTGGTTCGGAACTACAAGGAATCTTCTTTTCCGTATTAATATTCACGCAGTTATTTTTGAATGAAAAATGCATGGAATATTCGAACTGGACAAAATTCTTGTATTGCACCTCAGGGCGATAGTGTGCAATTTAAAGTGTGATTGTAAATGGCGAAAAACCTAGTTTGTGTAAAAAAATAAATAAAAATTCTAAATACACAAGCTATTACAAATCACTATGAGAAGCGGAGCAGGAAGCACATGCAAACCTTTGCAACTTGTCAAGTTTGCAGACTTAGTTTCTAGTAGCATAAAAAAAACATCAGATTTAATTCTTTATTTTTCTCAAGATAAGAAAGTAGGTACATTATATACAGATCAGCATCTACAATCGGCAGTATTTTCTCTATAAACTCCACTGTATATGACCACATGGAGCTCTAGATAAGGCAGAGACACTAGGGCTTTGAGAGGTTGAGCTGTAAAAGAAAAAAACAGATGCAAGTACAGTCCTATCGAAATACTTACTGCCAAGCACTGACTACATATAAACCAATCACAACATTGCATTACAGAACACAATAGAGGAAAGAAGAGGGAGACAAGAGGAACATGCAGAAAGAACAGATTGCTGAAAAAATATTAAAGATGAGACAAAGCAAAAAGAGTCAATGGCTAAAGTTGAAATAATGTAAGAACACTTCGAGGCAAATCTAAAACAATATGAACTGAAAGAAAAGCAAAGAGCTGATGCAGAGGAAAGACGATAAAGAAATTAGAAGTGCAAGAGGACAAGCAACATTTGAAGAGAGGGGATGAGACCGTTAGTAATACTGCTGTGAAAATATTACACCAACTACAACAGCAAGGGCTAAAAATACATTCCATGAAATAAAATAAATTGTGGCATCATTTGAGACAATCAACATTGCTTTGGACAATCCTTAAGTAATAGGCATTATGGGCAGCTAATCAACATTACCATTAGAACCTGCAGTGAGCTTTTAAGACCTGAGAGACATTACTGTATGGATTTCTAGAAAATGTCTAACCATCTGTATGTCCAGGTATGTCCAGTATGCAATTTTACAGCTTATATTAAACTCAAAAGTTAGACATCAGAAACCCCAGTCCATCAAAAAAACACCAAACAATACAGCAGTAAACAGCAATTGCCAAAAAAAACAAGCAGTCAAAACAAGACGCCTATTAATACACTTAGAAAAAAAATCAACGTTAATAGAGAAGACACACCTGAACATACAGCAGCAATTCTACTAAACACTATATGGAGCAATTCCTAAAATAAAACCCATACGTCATCTTCAGACTGACATGGTGGATTTGTCATGTTTCATAAAAGGCATCAAGAAAAACATTGCAAATTGAAATCACCAGGCTCTCCTCAAAATGACAAATGCATTAGACAACAACAGGCACAATGAAGAATCTCATTTGGCTGATGTCTGGATGTCTCAATGCCCATTTTCCAGTGTGCCTCTGGATTAGTTTTGCCCGCCTTTTCATCTTTTTCTTTGCTCCGAATGTGCATGACTGCAAGAAGAGACAGAGAATCTGGTAATGATGGAGTGCAGGAGGAGAGAGGAGAACAAGGGGTGGGAGGGGTTGAAGGTTGAGGAGGAGAGGAGAGCAAAATCAGTGTGGCAACCAGCAGCATCAGCAAAGAATTCATTTACAATGTACAACCAAATACAAGATGAAGGTAAACAAAATGAGCTAGAAATATTTGATAACCATTTCCCAACTTTAGTACTTTGGGGAAAAAAAACAACAAAAAAAAAACAACAAAAAAACCCCAGCTTGGGCTTAAACCAAATCTTTCTCTTATTGTTGGAAACTTCTGTCTAACAAGTGAATTTTTACAGGTATGAGAGCAAGAAAAGCTGAACAGGGAAACAAGGAAGATGATAAAACAGTAAGTCACAAAGCTAAGATGACTTAAGAAACAAAGGAAAGAACTGACAAAAATTGCTTGGAAATATTAAGTAATGATCAACAAGGGAAAGATTTGGCATATCAATTCACGACTCCTTCATGAGTGTGGATTGGATGTTTTACTTCCTAACGTAATTTATTTAATGTCTAGGGGAACAAGAAACTTTAGAATAATTTGAACATGAAAATTATATGCACTAAACTGCATATCAGTATGCACATGCTCACCACCCAAAATATTATATTTAAACTTTTAAAACTGCCAGCAAAATTAATGTATACTTCAAAACGACACTTACCATTGTACAAACAAATAATCTATGAAATCAAAGTAACCCTAAGGAAAAAGAAAAACTCACTTCTCACATTATTTACATGAGCAAATATGTACAAATTTCACCAACAAGGTGTTAGGGACGCTTTCTGCTCATAGTGGCCCTGAGCACATCTTGCTAAAGCACACATATTTCAGACCCAAGCCTTATCCATGCTAGATCTTAACATTAAATAAACCTGATTAAGTCAAAAAGAAAAATGCTGGTGCACATGCTCCTCGTTCATTTACAATGAAATTGTTGTATAAGTAGCAACTCCAATTTTAAAGCAGTCCATTAGAAATCAAGGAGCATTAGATTAACTTTGTAATACCTTGAATTGGTACAACGTTTGACTACAATGTGTTCGTGCTTCAATCATTGGCTAGATTAAGACCATGATACCATATCAATATCTGAGATCTACTACTGTATCACAGTAATATCCATGTAAAATGAGCAGATCCTTTAGATTTTTGTATGGATCTATTGGTGTCAATCTTGCAGATAAGGAGTGAAACAGGGTTCAGTATTAGACCCATTTTAAAATGAGAAATGACAAATTCACAACCTGCCAGAAGGGTTAAACAAATACCAATCCAAGCACGTTGTTCAACAGTGGTAACACCTCAACCCAAGCTGAACGATGATTCACCACGCTTTCAAAATATCAAGTCCTTCTTACCAGCCATTACCAGTAGACGTGGCCAAAGCTTAAGGAGCCATACAAACCCATGTGTTTCCAAACCCCAGCAGGACAGTGGATGCCCTTGTAGAAGTGAGGTGACTAGTGGAGATCACCATCTGAAGAGGAGACAAGAGAGCCGCCAACTTGCTGTGAAGGAAAACAGAGCTTGCTTTTCCTTCTAAATGACTTTTGCTTCTCAGGCTGACTGCATGTTAGGCTTAGAGACCTTCTATGCTGGGGGTGCTTTGTAGGAGGACTTCTCTCTTCAGAAGCTGGTGGTCAAACCTAGTGGTGAATGAACGCCCTAAGTGGACTTGGATGACTTTTAGAATGGTTGGCCCCGTTCAGATCACAGCTGGGGTGGAAGTGAAATATTTAGAGTCACTGAGTTGTGCTTCCTGGGTGTCGAGGAATGATTAGGAGGTTATCTTTGACTAATGAAGGCCAGCTTCTTGAGTGCTGATGATGTGCAGGAGAGGGAGAGAAGACTGTGCGGGAAGGGCGCGGAACTGATCACAATGCGGAACAGGGCCTAATCTGCATTTTTTAACGTTGGTTGTATTGTTATAGCTCAGTCCAAATATTACATGCTATCAGCATTAGGATCCTAGAGATGAAGGGAGCCAGGAGATCTAACAGAGCACCTCCACCAGTGACCCACTGAAGACATCTCAGGCAAAGAGAAAGATAGGGAATACAAACCATCTTCTTCTTGCTTGAAGGATTGCACTGAAGCTCACTTTACTTTAAAGTCCATTAAAGATGACCAAAACCTTGCAGAAGGATCCTTTGGCTTCACACAGACTTGATGAGCTGGTACACTGTTGGTGGCAACTGGCTCACATTATATTCTTGGTTAACCATGATGTTTTCAGGTCTTGAGCTTTGCGGCTGCTTGCTTGAGGGGAGAGAAACATGAGAACACAACACTGTTAGCTTAAATGCTTTTTTGAGCTCCGTGATGTGGGGACCTGACATAACCCGCTGACCCGACCCCATCAGATCTTTGCCTCTTTTTCCTTTTTCTATTGGTGTAAGGGATAGTGTGCAAGTAAACTGGTTGTCTGATACTTCATTAAATGGGCTGTGTGCATAGGCTATACTGGGTCTTGAATACGGCACCTAGTCCCTGTATGTGTCATCTGTCAGAAAGTCCATCACTCTACAAGAGTTTAAAAAAAAAAAAAGTTATCTTTCATAAATATGATCAGCTCTAGACGGAGTGTGTGTCCATCCGTTGTGTAGATATCTGGTCCCTTATTCACAGTTTTGTCTTTTTAAGCTCTATAAAAGCCAATTCTCTGGTCAACCCCCACCCTTTTCCCATACTATAAAGTTGTAAGACTGGCTGAGCTAACTTTACAGTCTATTTTGCTTGGGTCAGAGGGAGTGAATGTAACCCCAAGCCCTGTTAGAAATGCTAAACATGAGTCTAAATCTGAGAAGGCCAAGCTGGACTGCACATACTCCACCGGCACAGAGGGCCTGAACCTGCAACAGAGAAAGAAAAATAAATAAATAAAAGAAACCTTTAGACTTCCAATTATCAAAAGCATAATTTTGTAAGCATTCTGCCTGGCACCTGCACTCACGTTTTAAGAATAGCCCTCAGCGCTAGATTTCTTTCACGCTCCACAAACTTATCGATAAGGTAAGCAGCCATACGTGGAGCATTCTGATAGAGTTTG